TTGAATTTGACATTAAGTTGTACTTACATGAAAAGATTTATTAAAAATAAAATTATCATGAATATCCAAAGAATTAATGAAGTAAAAATACTTAAACTACAAATCAAAGGCTTTGTTCTTCGAATAAAAACTAAACTTGTTGAATACTAAGATATTTATCTGGAAAAATTTATGTAAAGTGTATTTTTTTCGCTTGGCAAAAAGTTTTCAGACAATTGCGAATGCTTTGTTTTTGTCGACAAACTAAAGTTCGCATTCAGACACTGTAATGCACTCTAATTGCGCCCCCCCGAACCGTATGGAGACGTCACAAAATCTAATTGCGTTGTCGGCAAGCCAACCTCGTATTAAAGGATATGCCAGAGGATACGTCAGAATATGCGCCATATACTATATACGTTAATGCGAAGTTTTTGCCGCAATTTGCTTATTTTTCGGGCCCCAGATTTTATTACATTTTTCAGCTAAATTATTAACATTGTCGCCCCTGGTTTTTGCCTATCGATTTCCCTTTTTGCGGGTGGAAAACAAAATTGTTTCAAAATGCCTTTTGGCTCTGCCGCAGGGCCCAGAGAAATTCTACAAAATATAATAATGGTTTCGAGCGATTACATAAATAATTTATCTAGATAATGACAATCGAAATTGCTCAGCTTCCCGCACCGATCCGCCATCGTTTATGACTATATCCACTTTTTCCCCTCCTGCCAAACCGGCATTAAGTGCAAACTGGCAAAACGATTTTCATAAAAAGGAGGAAAATAGGAAATAATATACGAGAACAACTGAAGTGAGAGTGGGAGAGAGTGGAAAAAAATAAAATATAACTATGACAATGTATTTTAATGGCTTATGGAGACGCTTAAATTTGATTTTTTATGACCGCTCCTTAGTGGTTGCTTTATGCTCGAACATGCGGGTATTTGGTGGACACTTAAATATCTATAACCCTGTCTGGCATTTTAAATAGGAGAAGCAGGAGAGACATCCGAGTAGAATTTAATACTAAAATTCAAATAAAGTATGAAAATTTACTGAGCTATTTATAGGCTTATTATCCTCACCGAATAAATGATTGAAAATTGTGTTTTCTTTTCATTATATTTGCATAAATAAAAAAATAAATAAAAAGAGTCGCAGGCAGGCAGGTCTGGTATTCAATTACAAGGCTGAAAACAAATGGCCAATCGCAAATCTTTTGCCAAAGCCTGCCTCCCGCTTTGTACGCATATTTTTCATGAACAACACACTGAAAGTTCCCACGCACACACACACACACCGAAGAATCAGAGGAAAATATGGTGGGTTTCCCTTTTGTTAGACTATATATTACTTTTCCAGGGGGAGTACGAGTGTCCAAAAACCGCGTTATTTATTCAAAACATTCGTGCGTGTGCCCAAAAAACAATCCCAAACATTTACAGGCGACTTAGCTGCATTTATTATGAGACGCACTAAGTCCCCAAAGGCTGACAGATAAGATTCCTGTTCCCTCTCTCCTCGTTGGCCACGTGAGCAGACTGCTGTTTGCCCTGCGATAAAAATTTGGCCAGTGGGTTAGGTTAGCACCTACCAAAGAGACGCAGTCCTATCCCCTTCCCCATTCCCATTCCCAGCGGATGGATCTGCGGGTTGCGAGGCATTTTAAGTGGCGTTGTGTCCGCAGCTGAACTACTGATAAATTGCATTGATTTATCAATCGCACTCTCATGAGCTTGTAGTCACATATAAAAATAACAAGTAACTAAAAGAGTAGACAGCAGAAATAAATATGGAATGAAAGGTATCCTGGAATATAATTATTCAATTTTTAAAGAGAAAATTTATAGAGATAAGTTCAACCTAAGGCTCTATCTTATAAACTCTTGTTTCAATTGAAAGGAAACATTTAAAAAAAAATATTATTTATATATTCTATGAATTTAAAGGCTTAACTTTTAAGCTAGGTAAGCACCCTTCTACATTTTTTGAAACCTCATTTACAGGGTACAAAAATAAAAGTAAAAACATGGGGGAAGCACTCTCTGAAAGTCCATAAATATTTGACATCCAGATGGCCACCAGATAAGCGGACTTCTGCCGGCCATTCGATGCCATAAATCACGACACTTCTCGCCTTGTTTTTTTATTTTATTTTGGAGTTGCTGGAGCGATGTAAGCCAGTTATTGATATTGGCTAACAGGTTTATTTGTCAGCCTAATGGCTGTGCGATCCCGAAATAGATCAATTTTCGTACGAATCATGAATATTTATGGCGCAGAAATGTATGTTGTACATGTGACATTAAGGCATGTTGGCCACTTTAAAGGGAATAATTTATCATTTGGGCTTCAGTCAGTGTCAGTGTCGAAATTCAATTAGCTAAGTGTTGGGCAAATAAACCTGACCGCCACATCCATGATCCTCCTTCTCCTCCTCATCCCCAACTGGTTCTGCGTTATTATTTTGCTAACAAATTAATTAAGTTGAGCAGCAAACAATGCGGACAATGTTGACATTTCAACAGGCTCATCAAGCAGCCATTTTCAGTTGAGAAATATTCTAGCAATTTTCCGCTTTTGCTTGAAAATACTTAATTAGTTCGTTCTTTGTTCTTGAACTTCATTTGCATTTCGAAAATATTCGCAATTGCGAGGGAAGCCATACCGAAAAGGGTCACCAACAGTGAAATTAATTCAATTTAAATCATGAAGTCTTAGGAAAATGTCCACTGAATAGAAACAAGAAACAAGAAGTTTGCAAATCAAAGGGACACCAAAAGGTATTCCTTCAATTATAAAATCTATGTATTCATAGAAAAGTAATTAATTGTTTAACAAATTAATAATTAAGCCTTTCAACAACACTAACAATTAATGCTAATTAATAGCAACTGCAAGTCACTACATTTAATTGACAGCTTAAATAGAAATTTAATAAATTATTACGCATACGCCATGTATGCCACTTTTTTTTGTTTGAATTTCACTCTCTATTAATAATGCCTGACTTTTATGGGTTTTTATGTCGCAGGCAATTAGCCAGCCAACTTAATTGTGGCCATAAATTCATTAAAAATCAATTTTTATTAACTAGCAGCTAGTAAAAACAACAGTTGGTGATTGTTTATTAACTTTCACAAATTGTAGAGAACTATTTTTCCAGCTAACTGAAAACTTTTAACCTCTTGCTTACCTGAACTTGGCCAAGACAAAGTTTCTGTGCTAGAAGTTTTCCACTGATTGGAGTCACCAGAGGATCTCAATTAGTTTTTCTCTTTTGAAACTACAGCATATTGAATATTGAGTACAGAATATTAAATTTAATTTACTCTTACAAAACACATTTAAATAATTCAACTCCAGGGAGTAAACTTTAATCATATTTGTGGAAAATGTAAACTTTTCATGAATATTTTCACTTCGAAAACTCAGCACTTTGCAAGCAACTTTGTGGCAACAGAGGCGTTGAATTTTCTGGTTTATGCAAATTGTGTTTATGCATTCATACGGATTTGATTTTTAAGGCATCTGTTTTACACTTTCTTTATATTATTCTCGATGGCATCCGGACTTTATGCACCTCACTTCGCAGGAAGGAGGTGAAAGGTCGCCGGCTGACGGGTATTTGTCCGGATGTTTACATTCACCTGGCCGAGAAAACGACAGAAGATGGCGGCGGGCCATTCATATTTTTATTACAAAGGAATGACAGCCTGGGCTAAGAAGGCAAAAGCCGAACGAACGCACAGATTTCAATTACGCAGAGTTTTCTCCTGCTTACCCGATTCGTGATGCACTCGAGAAAAAATTGAAATAAAAATTGTGATTTGACATTGAAGTTGGAAAATTTTAAGGGAAGAAAAGCAATAAAAGATGGTTGGGTTTTTATTGTAAAAATATATTTGTGAAATGCGAGGAAAACGAGTTCTTTAATCTTTTAAAAAGTATAGGTTTTTTCTATTTTTTCTTTATTTTTAAAAACTTTAAAACAAAATCTCAAGTGTTCATTTCCTGCGGCTGTCCAAGTCCATTGAAGTTCCTTGTGGGCGTCAGTTACATTTTATGAGTCACTGTATCACAGTATGTGTGTGAGTATGTGGTTAATGGCTGGAAATGTAATGACAGGATATGCATTCCTTGAAGTGTTGGCGCAGGCAGGACTGCCAAGGAGCCCGAGCAGCAAAGGCAAGCATCAAGTTGATAAGAAATTCCACGCTAATGCCATAAATCTGTAACATAAAGCCCTCTTTCTCCTTGTCGTCCTGGTTGCCATCGTCTATGGATACTTTCAGATTGGTGGCTTTAATGGAAAGTTAGCACGTGTCTTTTGAGAGAAAATCTGGGAAACAGAATGCCAAATTAGCGAAAGGGGAAGGGTTAAATTAGAGGGATTTTCAAATGCACTTTGAAGGAATCAGGAAATGTGTATTTGAAGGGGAAGAGAAATGTATTTGCATTGAAAATTCAATGAATTTAAGGAAAGCAAGGGAGTTTTAGCAGAATAGTTAGTAAATTTTATTAGTAAAATAAATTTTAAGTAAATGCAAGTTGAGTTTAAAGTACTATATCTTAACTAAGAATATGCTAGTCACATTTCAATTTATTTATTTTTATTTTTTTACTTTTCAAAATAACAATTACCCCAAAGTCTAGCCCATAAACTAAACTTAATTAAACTCTGACAAACAATTAAACTTTAATTTACTTTTACCAATTTTCTCAGCTTTAGAAACTTTCAAGTTTGCCTTAGAACAACACACACTTGTGTTTGCTGTTCAAATTAAAACCAATAAATTGAGATCCATAAATATACATATATGCATGGAAATAGAAAAGTAAACATATGGGGTTATATCAACCATTTAATGGCATCTGAAATATTTTTATATTATTTGGGCTGACGGAATTTAATACTAAATAATTGCATTTCCTGCACATGAATCCATTAAAGCAAAACCAAAAGCAATTTGAATCAATTTAACGTTACAAACTGCATTGTTTTTTCCCACTATTTGCAGCTATAAGCTTTGGATGCAGATATGCAGCAGGAGCAGCAGGAGCAGCAGCAGCCTCCAACGAGCCAACGAGCCGTGAAGGAGATGAATTAATCAAGTTGGCTTAAACAATTTCCATTTCGTTGGCAAAGAAATAAAATTAAACGAGAGAGAAACGAAAGGAATCAGCAGTAGAAGCCCCACCAGGATTACTAGGAGATCCCTCCTCCCCAATGATAGCTAACAATTTGGTGAGCATGGAATCGGAACTGGACATGACGGCGCAGGGGGACCAGGATCTAGACCTGGACAAGTCTCTGCTCTCCAATCCCCTTAACATCACCCAGGCTATTTGGGACATGGCCATGCTGGCCACCTCCACCCAGTGGACGCTCTTGGATACCGACTTCACTTCGGGTTACGACAACCTCAGCGGTGTGGCGCCTACAGAGACTCCTTACGTGCCCTATGGCCGAAGGCCGGAAACCTACATCGTGCCCATCCTGTTTGCCCTGATCTTCGTTGTCGGCGTCCTGGGCAATGGCACACTGATTGTGGTCTTCCTCAGTGTGCGGCAGATGCGGAATGTTCCAAACACGTGAGTGTCCTGGGGAAAAGTTTTTGTTTATCCCAGAGAAAAGCTGGGTAGATAAGGCTTTAAAGGATAGTAGCCTAGCCAAACTCGTAGTAAATTTTCCAGGACATCAGCTAGTCGTTTCCCTGGCTTCCCTGTTCGTTTGAAAATGTATTTTTGATTTATGGCAAACTTAAATTGAATTTAATTATATGCCTGATGGTATCTCCCCCGGTGGCGATGAGTGTGCGCCAAATTATGCATGCAAACGGCAAATGTCACGAGTTGCCTGAAACATGTTCCTGCTCCTCCACCGTTTTTTGGCTCACAAAATGCCTTTAGTTAATTAAGTGACATCTAGGCCAGGACAGGAGGCAACCAGCCGGTGATGATAATGGTAATGCTGTTACCGTCTCCGCCTGGAAATTGCTTAAAATTTCCCTTTCACTAGGAAACCCACGCAAATCGATTGGCAGCTGTTGAGTTGCTTGGTTCTGGGATAACTAATTAGTCGTGTCTGTTGTAGATTTTTGTGCTGCATACATTATTGTGGGTATGTGTGTGCCATAAATCAAGTTATTACACACATGCTAGCATAAATATGATTTTCAGGCAGACAATAACCTTATGTGGAAGATGAGAGTGGAAACGAAAGTCGAAGTACTTGAAGGGAAGCCTAGGCAATACATTAAAGGCGTCTCTGAAGTCTAGAATGATTTCCAAAGCTAGTCGAAGCCAATGAAGCGTTGTATTAAAGTAAGTTACTTTAAGGGTTTTTAGTTAAGTGACTTGTTAGGAAGAGGATTTTATTATTAAGCTAATACCTCTACCTATTTTAGACAATTCCCAAAAAACAGAGTGAAGTTTTTAGAGGGTATTTTGAGAGTAAACTTAGTATTAATACAACTCTTTAAGTGCCCCACTTAAGAGCCGTATTACCAGTAATTTTTCTTGGCCTTGCATCCCACAAAAGACTTGAGTAAATATCTTAAGCACTATGCTCTCTAGAGGCAACAGCTTGGCTCCAAGAGGAAGTTTATTAGTGACACGAGTTCATCATTAAAACGATGACCTTCGTCCTGAGGGCAGCGAGTTGCGAGGCTGTGCCTGTTGGCGGCGGCCTGTTGGGGCTTCTGGCCAATTAAAACATTCCACATTGTTGGCAGCACACTACTCGTATATGAAGGCACTTAAAGCCGGATGTATTAGCCACTTTAAGCTGACCATGGAATCTTCATGAATCCGATTCTGCATTGAGCTTAACTCACATAAAACTCGCTTGGCGCTTTTCACCAAAGGCCAACCGTTGGGGGAATGTCAACTGATCAAATTACGCTGAAATTGCATTTCGTTACTCCGGTAACTTGGCTTTAAAAGTGCCAAGTGCTGGAGAGGATTGGAGGATAGCAGGGACTGAGACGGGAGACCCTTATCGGCTTTGCCCGGGGGCCACAAAAACGTAATTTGGTGTTGCATTTCCTTCTGAAAGCCAGAACGTGGCAAACAAAGTGCCACATGCAGCTTATTTATGGTAAGCGCGGGGGGGTGGGTTGAGGGGAAAGAGGTTTTGGGATAAAGGCGAAATTACTATATGCGATCATGACCAGAATTGCCACTGTTGGCAATTTATTCGGTGCCACTGTGGTCTTAAGTGTGCCACTGCCAGGCAGGAGCTCAAAAATAAAAATAGTTAAATGTGCTTTCTTTTGTCTTTGTGAAGATGCGAGGGTGGTTTAAGGGGTTTGAATTAAGTTAAGAAAGTCTATAGAATATATTTTAGGTTTTTTGATTAATAGTTTATCAAAAAAAGTTAAATTGATGGAGAGTTTTGTGTTTTATTAAAAAGAAGAAAAACCCTGAAATACTAAAAATTATTAAAATAGGATCTTATTTAGTTTCTTTAATATTTCAAGCCCCACTAACTTTTCAAACTCCCCTCTTAGACCCCACTTAACATAGCTTCTGCTAGATAAATCAATTTTAATGGTCATTGTATTACTCCTCCACAGTCAGCAGTTGTTGCAAGTGTCGCTATATCCTCTTTTATATATTTTAAATTTGCCTAAAACTTTGCAAAACATAAATCAAGCAAAGGCGCCACATTTTTATCACACTTCAAGGACACGTGCTGGCCACAGGAAAGACAAGAGGGAAGATGAGCAGGCAGCTTACTTATCTCAAAAAAATGAAGCATAAATCCATGGGATTCCTTTCGCTTTACCGCCTCCCCGGGAGAAGGGTGTGTTTAAGTTTGACTTTAAATTTCCTCTTTCAGCTATATTTTATCACTGGCACTGGCGGATCTGCTGGTTATCATCACCACAGTGCCCCTGGCCTCCACTGTCTACACCGTGGAGTACTGGCCCTTTGGCAGCTTCCTCTGCAGTCTGTCGGAGTTCATGAAGGATGTGTCCATTGGAGTATCGGTCTTCACGCTGACAGCTTTATCGGGGGATCGTTATTTTGCCATTGTGGATCCCCTGAGGAAGTTTCATGCTCATGGTGGGTAAAATAACAGAGTTACAAGAGCTTAAAATATTATTAAGAATATTTCCAGGAGGCGGTAGGCGAGCCACCAGGATGACCCTGGCCACAGCAGTGTCCATTTGGCTGCTGGCCATACTCTGTGGCATGCCAGCTTTGCTGGGCAGTAAACTCAAGGTAGCTAATCCTCTCTTGCATCTATTTAACCTTTCCTGATTCATTTTACTCTGTTTACCCAACAGAACTTTGGTATCAACAAGCAGACCATTGTCATCTGCTATCCTTATCCGGAGGAGTGGGGCCCCAACTATCCCAAGACCATGGTGATGCTACACTTTCTGGTCTACTATGCCATCCCTCTGGTGGTCATAGCTGCCTTCTACGTGCTCATTGCCCTCCATCTCATGTACTCGGCCAGTGTCCCCGGCGAGATCCAGGGAGCCGTTCGTCAGGTGAGGATTAAGCACGTAACTCAATTTATGCCCCCTAAAAAGTATTCATAATTGAAATCAATCATTGAACCCTAAACTGTAAAAAAGCGGGCAACTCCATAAAAGTGAATTATAAAGTTTTTTCCACAACTATTTTGCTGCTGTAGCAAAAAAAAAGAAAGAAAAAGTGCGCAAAAACTTTGCCCTTTCTGTGGGGCGGCATAAAATATTCATATTGACTTGACCAACGCTCTGGAATTTCAATTCAATTGGTTGGAAAATAAATTGAGGAACTTTTTAGGGGGAAAATGTACATAAAAAACATGTGTTGCCTCATCAATAGAAATTCCTGGTGAATAAATACAGCGCAATGGTATAATATATCAGGAGCCAAATTGTTAGGGATTACATTTCCAGCTTGTTAGAAGTTTTTCTTTCTTTATTTACTTGTTTCTTTGTGGTTTCGTCTAAGCTTTCCTTGTATTTAATTCTATGTATTTATAAAAGTTGTGTTTACCACAAAAGTTTAGTTAGAGGTGTTATTTATGAGAGTCTTTTAAGCTTGGCAAGGTCACGAAATTAAGTTTAGTTTAATAAATAAATATAAATACTCTTTAAACTTGATAAGAAATTATTTCAGTGAGAACGAAGTGCTTTTGAGTTATTTAATAAATTTAAAAATATATGAAAAGCTTTATTATGTTACCAAATTATAAATAAGTTAAGCTTTGAAAAATGTTTAAAAACTCGAAGATGCCAAAAGATACAAAATAAGGAGCTGTATCCCTAAGATACCAGAGGGAAACCTAAGGACTTCTATAGACTTTTACTGATTTAATATAAATCTTTTTGTTAATATTTTATATATATATTTTTTAAGAGCATCCAAATCTCCTGTGTCCTGTAATAACAGGATATCCTTTTCTCACATCACTTAACATAAATTTCTGTTTTCATTTCAGGTTCGTGCCCGTCGCAAGGTGGCCGTCACAGTGCTGGCCTTCGTTGTCATCTTCGGCATTTGCTTTCTCCCCTATCACGTCTTCTTCCTCTGGTTCTACTTCTGGTGAGTGTTGGTCCTGCTCCTTTCTAAACATGAATGAATGGATGGAAAGTCAATTTGTCAAGCGGATAAAAGGGAACCTGCCAGCAGCAAAGGATATGGCGTACACACATGGCTCCATGGCTCCATGGCTCATGGCTCTTGCATGTTCACAAAGGAGTCGATAAGGGTGAAGAGAGTCCTGCGTATGAGTAATGTTGTTGCCATTTGTCCGACACTTGTTCGCCTGCAGGACAATCGATTTACCCGCTGATATCTCCATTATGGGAGGCCCCAACATAACTCCAGACTACCTCCCTTCTCCTCCCATTTTTTATGTTTCTGTTTGTGCCTTAAATTCCCTATTTCTTCCTTGGTTTTGTTACAGGCCCACCGCCCAGGACGATTACAATGCGTTCTGGCATGTCCTGCGCATCGTCGCCTACTGCATGTCCTTTGCCAATAGCTGTGCCAATCCCGTGGCCCTGTACTTCGTCAGCGGTGCCTTTCGCAAGCATTTCAATAGGTATTTGTTCGTTCACATCAATCCACCAGCCGCATAAGCCACCCCCAACGATACCTGGTACTGGGTACGGGGTACTGGGTACTCGCTGGTCGGTAAATCAATAAACAATCTGTAGCCCCGTAACTGTAAGCGTAAGCCAACTGCCATTCCGTTTATCTCTCTCTATCTTTCCCTCTCTAAACAAAACCCATAACTTCCGTATAAAAAAAGAAAAAAGAACCCAAAAAACATAAACATTTGAGCCAACATGCGTGACTTGAAAGTTCTCTATGCACCCCACAGAGTTTTTAAGCAGAAAAAAAGGAAAAGAATTCATAGTTTGGTTGTCAATTTCCATTTTGGACGTGATCTGAAAATTCCTTTGATATGTTTTTTTTTCTGTTTCAGGTTTTTGTATATTTTTTTCTTCCCTTTAAACTCTCCTCTTTGTGTCAGATTTATTTATTTAAATATTTCAATAGTTGTCTCTTTAAAAAAATATGATTTATGGACTCGCGAGAGTTCCGCTGCATAAATAATAAGTGAGGAAATTAATGCAGTGTTTCAGCTTTAATTCAATTAATCTTTAAGTTCAATTTATCCAAACTGTGAAATGTGTGGTGTATCCCCTACTCTCTCTATTTATTTGTTTGATTTTCTGTAATATTTCTCTCAACTTTTATTGAACCGCACACATTGACCAAGTGCACAACTTCCCTTTCGATATGAGTGTCTCTGCTCTTAAATTGCAATCTGGAATTGTTTGTTGCTCCCGCATGAGCTCACAAAATGGCACACAACCACGACTGCACAGAGAAAAAATATGGCAAAGCTATAGAAAATATATTAAAGATAATACAAATTTAATTTTAATAAATAATGAACATTTTTGAAACCTAAAAATATGTTAGAAAAATCTCAAGAAAAAATAATATTCATTAGGGGAAACTTTTCAAATTTTACTAAGATTTGAAATGATTTAAAAATGTGAAAAAAATAAGAAATAAAATATTTAAAATAGATAAATCCCTTAAATTTAATTTAAAAGTGATATTTAGTTATGTTGCAGATATTTTTCCTCTGTGTAAATACTAAGACACCCCACAAAAACACGCCACCACACATAGACAAGTGAAATTTTTGAAATATTCTTTATGAAACGCGAATATACCTCCCCTTGACCGCCACCCCCCATTTCTCCAACCTCCTCCTTCCGCCGGCAGATATCTGTTCTGCCGTGGAGCCAGCGGAAGACGCAAGAAGCGCGGCCAGCACGACACCTTCTGCATGCACCGGGACACCTCGCTGACCAGCACCGCCTCGAAGCGCTTCCAGTCGCGTCACTCCTGCTACCAGAGCACCATACGCAGGTGAGTGAAGTCCTGTTCTCCTCAATAGTAGATTCTGAAAAATCCCGGAATTCCCATCATTTTTACTGCCTGCACCCTCAATGGACAGCTGTCGTCTGCAGGAGACAACGATAACCACGCTGCCGAACGGTGGCAATCAGAATGGTGCCTCCATCTCGGCCGTGGACCTGGCACCATTGGCCATGCCTATGGTCCCAGCCTCGGGGCACAATGAGGCACCACCTCCAGGATATGAGTTTGCTGCTCTGAACGAGTTTGGTCAGCAGCAGCACCAACGTTCGCACCCACCAAAGTTCCAGGAATCCTTGTTGAATTGAAATTACAGGATCAGGACTAAAAGTGGGACTTTAACGGAGTTTACAGGAAGTCAGGCAGCGAGACAGACACTCTATCAAGATCAAAAAGTAGTTAAAGGTGGCATATTTACCTGCTGAGGTTTTTTTAAATAGAGAAATTCTTTAGCTAAGAGAATTTGTTTAGAAATTAAAGTCAGCTTTGGGCAGGCTTAAATTATATAAAATCGGTAAAGGCTTCTGCCTAACAAAATACAGATTAAAGAATATTCATTGGTTAGATCGGTTAATACAGTAACACTCCTGAAATACTAAATAAATCACTCCCAACAGATGATTATTTTGTGCTAAAAATCAACTAGAAGCTGCTAGTAAACCTTCATGGAATGTAAATACAAACTAAATGTTTTTTATGTCATAGATTTTAAGCCTAAATGTAAACTGTGTCTGTTTCAAACTAAAGTATTGCAGCCGTGGCACGGCTTTAAGCTAAACAACTAAATGCGTTTAAAATAAAATATATGGAAAAGAAAAAACTCCACTTTTATAGCTAATCACTAAAGAAACTTTGTAAATACATTTTTATGTGCCATCAACTAGTTGAAAATAAATGTAAATTGTGCGTTAGAAAACTTTGTTTTCATCTGTCGCTGGAAAAGTCACTCGAAGCCGCCACATGAGCTGTGAGACCCGAAAACCCGCAGCGTGAACAAGTCATGGAAATTTATGGGAAATTAAATTACTTAGAGACCATCCATCTGTGGCAGCTTGTGGACAACTTTAAGGAGTCCGGAAAACTTTGTCTCCTGGCTGAGGCATCAACAACAAAGCTGGCCGGTCGTGACCTCAGAAAAAAAGAAGGGGAAAAAGGAAAGGAAAGCGACTCCCTGCGGTTCGACGTGGGCTCTCTGCCAGGGACATTCGGGGAGATTAATTGGTTTGGCCGCAGGCACAAAAAGGTGAAATCGGAGTCACAACTTAATCTCGTTCACTTCAAACAAATTGCTGCGCCATTTTTGAGCCGGATTTTGGGTTCGAATCTGGCGGAAAAACAATTGTGGGAGTTGCCTGCATTATTAAAAAACCATTTTCGATGGAAAACCAACCCTTTGAGATATTTCAGGCTCAGATTGATCTTTAATCGAGATATGAACCGTGCTTTAGGGGTCTTGCTTTTGGGTCTGTTGAAGGTTTTTACATATTTGGAGTGAGGTTTTCCCTCATTTAGTACACATTTTCTGAGAAATAGGTAAGGGTTTATTTTTGGTTTCTTATCTTAAGTCTGTAGTCTTTTTATAGAAACGATTTATCTCTTGAGATTTATATAAATTATTTATAATTAATGTTTCTTAACTCTAAGGCATTGCCTTTATAACTGGCTATATCTGAGGACTCCTTAGCCAAGTTCTTGACTTTATAAAGACATTATGCAAGTCCTATACAATAATGATTGCTCTCAAAGTTCAAGCACCAGCAGTTATGCTTGCTCATAATGCCACAGGGACTTCATCTTCATCTCTTCGTTTCCTGAATCAATTTCCGGCCATTTCAATGATGATTTTGCGGCCGTAAGTGCCGATGAAATGTGCCATCAAGTCAATCAGCTTAAATCGGACGCACATTGGCGTCATTATTTACCGAAGAAGCCTTTTTGCGTGGGCCAGCCAGACTCTCGACATTCGACAGATTCGACAGATACAGAAATTAAATTAACTCATGAAAATGTCGGGCGCGTCACGGGCTACGTGCCGAGGATTTCCCTGCGACTCCTTTTGCATGTCGGAGGTCCTGGTGACAGGCGTTATCTTTCGCCTGGCAGCTCTACTTATTCTTTTTGTATATAGTATATACATATACATATATATACATTTCTCTATTTCTGTTTATACGCGCTGGCTCATTTTTAATAAACCGGCTTGGGGTACTCATGCGGCATTTCAGCGACCACGTCAAGTTGTCATCAAGCCAAGTCGAGTGCTTATCCCGGCTTTATTAACTGTCCAAAGTGTTTGTAGCTGCTCCTTCTGCTTCTGTGCGGTTTGTCGTTGTCCTTTCCGCCGTATCTTGAGTTTATTTTTTTACTTTTCTTACTTTTTTCCCTTGATTTTTGCGCTTTTTGAGGTTTTGAATTTCAAGCTTATAACATAAAAAATGTTGGTTTATTTTTATGAAATTAGTCTGGCGGAAATTGAATTTCGGTTACTTTTACAATTGGAAATATTCGCTTTATTTGTGAGTGGAACTGGATTCTGGTCTAATTAGCAGGTTGCTTAATGAAAATCTCAGGCAATTAATGCTTTTGGCCATAATTAACTTATGCCTTAACGATTGCTGGGGGTTCATTTGACCAGATTGAATAAATTTGCAAATTGTTTAAGCTAAATATTGATTTGTAGAGACTTAAGTGGGGTTTATTAGTTATTTAATTATACAATTAGCTTTGATTTTAGCTGTTAAACTAAGCTTAAGGGGGGTAATCTTAATTAGGAGCAAAAAGCCCACTTTTCAAAACAATGTGGTGGCGAAACGGCTAAAGTTAGCTTAATGAATTAAATACCATATAATAAAGCAATACTTAAGCAATTTTTTTATATATTTTTTTATTAAAAAATATTAAGAAGTCTAGGAGTAATAGGGAATTTCCCGAGTCGCCTCAAAGAAATGTGGTTTTCGGCATACCTTCTAATTTAATAGATAAAAAATATTTAAAAAAATATAATTTAAAAAAACTCGACTTGAGTTCCTTTAGAATTAGTTAAAGAAGTTATGTTTCAAATTTCAAACCGATTGGATTAGTAAATTTTCCAAAATGGCATTTTTTAGGAGAGCTCTTTAAGCACCTAAGGTCTTTCTTAATGTTAAAGCTTATTTAATATTGGTTTTCTTCTCACTCATCTCTCTTGTTTTTCTTTTTGGCCAATTAAACAGCCATAAGATGTATATTTAATTCAGCACTTCTTGGCTAAACGGCCATTAATATTAATTTAAGTTAGAGACTAGCGCCAAGTGTCTTGACACTTGAAAACCGCACAAAAACAAATTCGGCATCGTCGTAATGAGAAGTACAACAACACCGTAACACGCAAATAAAAACAAAACAGGCAAACGCAAACATGGCAATGGCAATAACAATAATAAAGGCCTTATAAAACATATGAGGGGGTGCTTTTGTGGGTGGTTTTTTGGGGTGTATTTGGGGGGGTCTTCTGGTGTGAGAAATGAAGAAGCATTGGCGTGGTAAATAAATAAAACGATTTCACCGAGGGAGTGAGAGCAGGAGAGACGCAAATGTAAACACACACAGAAGTCCTCAAGGTGCAAAGCACGGCGGCTTAACGGCATTTCATGTGTGAAAAGCTGGGAAAATGCGAGGGGAGGGAAAATTCGGCGTGACGAAGAGTCCCTGTCCCTACTAATCGTAAATTGCCAGGCACATACATACATATAGTGCTAATCTACACTCGCACACATATTAGGGGCATAAAAATTGGCACTCAATAAGCAAGAGGGCACTTTTGGGTCGTTTTTTCTTCTGCCTCTACGTTTCCTTTACGGTTCCACCTCCCTTTAAGGACACGTTTGTACATATGTTTATGCGTTTGGGCGTTGCCCTGTAGCCAGGAGGCGACGCTGAGACGGCATCGTCTAGCTCCCGAGGCCTCCTGCATTTTAAATGCCTAAATGCGATACAAATAATAATCATAAAAAGCCGATCGAATGGGTAAACACAATGACACACGTATGTTAATGACACACAAGGATCTGCTCCTGAAGGCTGCTGGCTTAATTAAACTGAATTATTGGATACTCGGTATTTTAAGCTGTTCAATAAAGATTTAATCGGAGTTAATAAGTGGGTAATTAGACATTTATCAAGCCAGAGAAGAGTTGTTGGTACTGGGAAACTTGAGTTAAGGCAGTTCAAATTTGTGTTGGGTTTGGGGAGAGGGTTTAAAATTTTAGGCAATTTAACAATCAATTAATATACTTTATATTAACAATTAAATGGAGCTTGATTGAGAATCCAGCATCATTTACTAAAAAGATAGTAAAGGCTTCATTCTAACACAGCTTAATTCATACTTTTCTAAAGATTAAAGTGTTTTATGACTTAAAGTTGCATTGAAATTATTTCTTATTAAATTAAAGCAATTTCTCTAGCTTCCTCTAAGTACATAAAATAACTTTATTAAATTAAGTACCCAAGAAAAAATGAAGTGCTAAGAAATAAATCACATTTGCAGTCCACCGAGAGCAACAATCAATCAAGAATCAAAAGCTGTAATCAATAATCCACATTCACTGCTAAATGTTTTCAATGATTTATGTTTGATTGATATAAGGTATAAATTAAACCACATTCATATATGTATATATAAGTTAGGGCTGTTTCTTAAAATACATATATTCCAAACATAAAGAAGCTGCCCTACAAATATTTAACTATTCAGATTTTATGGCCCGGGCAAAAGCCAAAGGCCAGGCCGAAAATCACCACCTGCTGATTTATATTAAGTTGGAATTATACAAGCGTGCCAGGACCTACAGCCTCCTGCACCCCCCAATCTCTCATCCCAATTCCTAGCCTGGCCCTGCTTGGTATATTATCGGTCATTTCCTCCCCGCACTTAACCTCGGTTGTGTGAGTCTATTTTAAGCATTTACAACTTTATGGCCACTGGTCAAGTGACCGGACACTGAGGAGAGCTCGAGCTGGACCCCAGGAGAGCCTGACTTTAAGCTCCTTTCGAGGGCAATCACAGTTGGCGGTTGACAAATGCCACAAGAGCCATCCGCCCACGTCATCACCCCCGGCAAAGCAAACCGAGTGTAATCCTAGAGCTTCGGGATTCGGCAGGGGCTGTGATTTTCTTTAGCTAATTGCCGAGGAAGTAGGAGGGAAACTTCAAAAATCCGACACCATCGCCAGGCTCCATCATTAGGCAAACGGAAGAGGAGGAGCTCCTCTCACCACCTGGCATTTTTGGGTGACATTAAGTATACGCCTCGTGTGGCTGAGCAGGAATTTAATTAACTTGGCAACCCGAGATCTCGGCAAGCTGTCAAATTTAGGTATTCAAATTAAGTGTTCTCTTACACATGCATGTGTGTGGGGGTTCCAATCGAAGGATTGCCATTATCCATTATCCCCACTTCAAATGGCTGACGTTGATGGCTGGCGGAAGAATAAACCAAGTTTAGAGGGCATAAAATAAACGGATACCCAACCAAAAGGGGGCACAAGTGGCATGTGCTCTTGGGCCACTCAACTCGGCCAGAGTCACGAATCAGGGTGTCTCATCCCCTCCTGCTCTCCTTGGGCCTGTGCAAATAGTAAAAAGGACATTCGCCCGAATTGTCACATTCGTTCGCTTAACTGAACGTGGGGACAGCCGCAAAAGATTAAACAGTCCTCGATTTATGCCGACACACAGAACAAAGGCGCAGGACTCGGGAATTTATTCAAAGATGCCCCCTAAAAATAGGGAGGCACCAACACAATCCTTTGTTTAGAACGTCAAAGGTCAAGAGGTTTTAAACATCACAATGGCAGATGTCTTAAGAGTGTGTTTAATGTCTGGCAGGATTTTCTTGCGAATTTTTCAGTCAATTAATAACAACAATATTTGGGAGAGTTTGGGAGAAAAGGCTTTTAAAAGTATTAAGCGAGATTTCTTTAAGAGATTTTTTATAAGCTTTACAGAATTTCCTTAAAAGATTTTTCTCATTAACCTTTTTGAACATTCCCTCAAGCCTTTTTATGTATGTTTCTGTTTTCATATAATTCTTTTTAAATTTCTTTATCAATTCTTAGTATTTAAATTTATATTTAAATCCCCTTAAACTTGTAAATTTGTTCTTAAATTATTTTCCCTTTAAGCTACACAAATTTTCAAACTTACATAAATCTCTCTAAAGTTTTTCCCAAGTTCCCTGGCTTAAATAATGCCCAAGATTCCCAATTATTTAAAACATAAATCCCAAAAGTCATTGAGGCATTCTTTTCTTTAGACAAAATTCCTGTACTTCCTGTTGAAAACATCCAAAAAGTGACCAAAAAACTGGCACTTGTCTAATTAATTTCCATTTCAATTTTGAGTTGTGATTTCGGGTACCCCGAATCGCCGCTGGTCAGACTGGCCAACTTTCTCCACCGAGGCGTCCAAATGGCTAAACTTTGAGTCCTGATAAAAATAAATCTCTCTTTTTTCGTTTCGTTGATTTTATTCGTTTGTTGCTGGAAATCTGGTGGGCATGAACCCTTTTCAATCAAATTAGCCATAGTCAGTGGAGCAATTCCATCACTGGCGTCGAGCAGCAGATGATGAAAACTCTCGATGGGATTAGGCAGCGGGCTAGGGCTGGGGTTTGGAATTGGAATTGGACTAGGGGTTTTTATGGAGCTGCCATTGATGGAAATATTTGATTATCAGATGAAATGTAAAATAAGATTGAAGTCAGATTGATAGAAATTGTTTTTGTGTAGCGATTTTGTAATTAATTTAATTGTATGCAAAAGTTCTTTGTGTTCTTTAAGAAAATATCTTTGGATAGGTGTGGTTTTTAAATTTAATGAACAAGTATTTGTTTTATTATTTTCCTATAAACTTATTCTTTTCAAGTTTAAACTTTAAAGGTTAATAACAAAGGCAGTCTGACTCACCCTGACCCGTCAACTGAAAGTCAAATATGGGTCATCTGACTGACCAAGCTTACCCTTTAACCCCATTTCTCTTCTCCTTTTCTCGAGACCTTTGATTGTCAATGTAGCTGTGTAGCAACAATTGCCCTCATCTCCTGCCTTGCTCCTTGGAATTTGGCAGTTGTCCTGACATTGTTGCCAAAACAGTCAGCAATTGTGCAGGCAACAACTTTCGGCCAAATCATGGGCTGCTCATTTGTCAGCAGTACCAGGATACTAGGACACTGTGGTAGAGGATGAGAGGCGCCATCATTATGGTTCCTAAAAACTCCTCGAGAACCCGCAGAAACTTCTCTCAGACCTCAGGCAAACTTTTAAGCCAACAAACCCAGTCCGGTTTTGAACAAAGTTTTAAATGGAGAGTTGCTTTTGTTTTCGCTTCCGTTTCCGGTCGCGTGCATGCAAAATAATGACAAATCGCCGACTGAATTGTGCTCCAAGTACGTGTCTGTGGGCAGCAAAACCCACTCCAAGTCTCCGTTCTCCTCCTTTTTCTGGCAGGAATTCAAGTTATGACATTTAAAGGGTTCACATGTGTTTCGGACGCATCACGTATTATCGACATGTTAACAAGGCACACTGAAATATGCAAAATCCCACACAATGGATTCATAGTTTGTGGTTTAAGAGAGGGAAAATCAAAGAAAATAATACTAGCTGGAAGCCACATTCCCTGAATAAATACAAAATGAAACTAGAACTAAGTCCCCTAACCACCAGCACTAAAAAAATCCATTTTTCCGCTCGACTGCACCGCCGCGGTTTTCATAATTCCCCAGGAAAATGCCAGAGTTCAAAAGTAATAAATATTTAAAGCAAGAAGAGCAAGTCCCAAGGAGTTGCCAAAAAAGGACTTTGCGAAATACTCGAATTATTAATTCACTGGAAACATAAAATAAATACCTGTCACGGCTACAAAACAAAACAAAGATACGATTTGATAAGAGCCCGCGCATAACTGACATAATAATGTCAGAACAAAAGTATTTTCTCGCATTTTCGCTGGAAAATGGTGAAATTGCGTGAAAATTGTCTTGTCAGTGGCAGCTGCGAATAGATTAAAAAATATCAAAAGCAGCAGCAGCAGACAAACACACAGAGAGCGAACAAACAGACTAGGCACTTGGCACTTTGGCATACTGCTTACTCTAGTCTCAGGTCGGCTACAGGTGGACAGCTGGGATTCCCAGCTAACCGGAAAGATCCCCTCCCGCGGGCGATTACATATACCAGCGGGAGTGAAGGAGTTTGTCACTGTCACATCACATCATTTGCATATTTGCACTCTCGGTTCGGTGTTGCGCTTATATCACGCATACGCAGCGTTGGCTTCGATGCCCGATGCAATCGATGCCCTGCAGGCCGTCCTGCTCCTCGATTTCCATTCTTAGTCCTTCCGCATGTCGCATAGCCTGGCTACAATAAAGCTTTATGTGAGACGGGGGGCAGCTGTCGTCAATCAAAGGATACGTTTCTGTGCTGTGCTCTCCTCCGCCGGCTTGTTTGGCTTTGTAATTTATTTGCCATGCTCGAGATTTGACTTAAAGTGGGTAAAAACCGCACGATTTTGGGGCCATGACATATGATAAGGGGAAATCGACCTAATTTGCTTGTCCTCGGTTGGCATCAGTAAAGTTTGAAGATGAAATGGAGCGGCAAAGCTAAAAGTTAATTTTTGAGGTTGCTCAAGTTTAAGTTGTATAGTGTTTTTTTATATATTTTAATAGAAATTTAACATTTCTTTGTTTCATAAAAAATCTGTAATAAATTTGGTTTCTAAAACCGAAAGATTTAGGCTGTTAGCTGATTTTTATTTGGTCTTTGAACTGAATAAACATAAATATTCACTGAATTTTTCAGCTTTTAAACTAGACTCGATGGTCACGTAGAATCGTGTCGAAATATACGTTTATACATTATATTTTACAGGTAAAGTTAAAAGTAAAATGGGGGAAATGTGGAAAATGTAGTGTCTATTACATCACTTTAGGTCGCCACTGTAGATGTAAAATTTGTAATGGCTAAATCATTTGTGGACCTTAATTCCCTTTGAAACCCAATAAAGAAGTCATTTCCGACCCTATAAATCATATATATTCTTGATCAGCATCTAAAGCAGAGTCGATCTAGCCATGTCTGATGGAACAAAAAAATTTTTAATTTTTTCAAAATTTTATAAGTGGTTACATCATTAAAATTCTCAAAAATTAAACAAAAAAATTAAAATTTTTAAAAACAAAAATTTAATATGCGAATTTGTTAACCTAAAAAAAACTAGCATAGAAAAGCTTTCCGAATTGAAATTAAGGAATTTTTAGCTTAGTTAAGATCTTAAGATTTAAAAATTTATCATCAGGCAAGTCGATCTAGTTAAGTTCACCTTCCAGTTAGTTTTATAACTTCACTTTAACATTTTTATGAAAGAAATATTACATTCTTTATTCCAAATTCATAATTTCTTAAATATTTGTATTAAAAATGTTTAAAAAAGTGAACCACTGATTCCAACCGATTAAAGCCCAGCTCTATTACTCATTTCTTGGCCGTAATGTAGACGACAACAGCTGCCACGCGCTCACGCTTACCTGGGACCGTCTCTCGCTCTCTTCTGGAGCGGCTCTCGTCGGCACTTGTCTTGGCCAAAACGTGTTTTGGCCACCAGCTCGCTTGGGGCTTGGAGGTTCAGCTCAGTGCCATTCTTCAGTTCGATTCGAATCGCGTTTAAGCTCGGTTGTTGCCGCCGGTTGCCGGATCTGTGTTTCTGCTTCTGTTGTCTCCGCTGTTGGCCAAGTGAATGTCACTCGATTGCAGGCAAAACAATCCAATATCGTCCATTTGCAGTGGGTGATGTGTAAGTGCGATCGCAGCTCTCTTTCGCTCTCTCTCCCCGCTGCCCGAGCGGAGCAAGTGCGTCCGCAGATTGAAGATTTGCTGCCAAGCGGGTTTGGATTTCAATTTCGGTCTACGGGATTTCAGTTTGTCTTTTTTACATATGCAAAGCGCGTACTCTTGCATTACCGTTGTCGCGTCGCGTCATAAAAAAAAGTGACCACGCCCCCTCTAAAAAAAAACACAACCGCCTCCCGCGATCTCCTAATCAATCGGTGATTACCAGTGGAAAAATTTCACTTTGCGCCGAAAGCTAGTTTTTGCATACACACGAAGAAAAGGAGGATATTTTGTGTGCATAAAAATTTAAAAAATTAAAACAGTTATTAAGAGAAATCTCAGTGACTTAGAAATAGTGGAATAATATTATTTAATGTTTACTTTAAACCTCTGAGCTTTTGTGAAATCGAAAAATACTTTATTTTTGTGTGTTAATTCAAACCACCGGACTTGCACTCGTTTTCCTAGAAGCCCTGACTATATAGCCATCCATCTACCAGTACATATAATAGCATTGAGATTCTCGAGTGTGAAATTAACATAAAGTTTTACCCCCCGGCTGGCCTCCAATTAGAAACTGCCATAAATGCATAAGAATTGTGCAGTTGAAGTCCATTCATAAGACTTAATGAAGAATTATTAATTTTTTTAATTGCCAGCACGCAAGCCAAGGTCATTGGCTGTTAGATAAAATGCGATATTTTTCCAGAAGTTTTTCCTCTCTCACAAATAAATAGAAAATATCAGAAACTTGCAAAAAATCACATAAATAATTGCAAGAAACAAAAAAGAAATATACAAATATATAAAAACCAAAAGACAAACAGAAAAAGCAAACCTCCAGCCAAGATATATTATATATGCTTTCGTGTTTATATAGCAAAGACAGAGATTCAAGGTGAATGTTGCCATTATTTTTTGACAGAGAGCTCGAGAGCAACAAGTGAAAATTTATTGAGAGGTTGTTCGCGTGCTTAGCAAGTGAAATAAGAGAAGGAGATGCCAGAAATCAGCGCCAAACAAATACAATTAAATAAAACATTAATTTAAAAAGCAAAAAAAATAATCAGGGGGTAATTTTGTTAATGAGAAATAACAATAATAAATAACAGAGTCTAGACTAGTCGCAAGGGGAATCCCCCAGACTAGACTTTCGGATTTTGGTTTTAGCTTAAAATTTATATGCAACTTCTTAGAGATATTTCAGAGATATGAAATAATCTTTTTCTGTTCTTGGCTCACAGAACTTAGCCTACTCACACACAATTCTAGTTAACCATCATACGCACCGTTGGCGTTTTAGCCTTGAACTTTTCCATTAAGGCACACATCGTCTCTGAACAAGGCAACAAAGAGAAAGAAATCCACATTATTATTAATTGTATTTTAACGGTATAACGTAAAGCAAGCTGTTTGGCCAAAATGTTTTGAATAACTTCCAGAAAGAAACCCGTCCGACAGCAATTTCTTGCTCTTGACTTGAAATTCGCCAGCCAAGCCATCAATAAAATATATGAAAAAAAAACCACAACAAAATGCAAATACTGGACAACAAATAATTTAACGATAATTTACAAAACGCTCCAGGCAAAAGCACCACAAAAAAAAACAACAAAAATTAATAAGAAACCAGTTGAAAATTACAAAAATAAGGCTTTTCGGTTAGTAACGAAAATGTCTGGCAGAGTGAAGCTGCCTTTGGGCAGCCGGAGCTTCTTTTTCTTCGTCACCAGCAGCTGCTGCCTCATCTTCTTCGCCAGCGCACAAGGTGAGTGAGTTTTACATATGGTTTTTATTTCGTACACATCTCTTTTATTTTACGATGTTTATGCACCACACGACAAAAAGCTTAATTTAAGTCATATTCTGCGGGCAGAGATTTTCGGATTTTGGAACGTCAGAAAACCCCCAAAGATCTCTCTGTCTGAATCACTTCGCGCTAATTTATCTCTCTTTAAAGCCGTGAGATCGGTGTCGTCGGCGTCTCTTACAAGCCGGAACTCTCCGAAGGTCTTCGGTGTCTCCGAGTCTCGGTAGTCTCTGAATCAAAAGAACGACGACAGTAAATGCGTGTTCAAAATTAAAATCTCCAAATTAAAATTTGTCACAATAAAAGAAACGGATGCTCGGTAATAATAAAGCCCAAAGAAAAACACACAAAAACACGTTGAAAACTTCCGGACAGCAAGAGCAAGACTAACTGTCAACCAATTTGCAGTTCAACAAAATACAGGTAACTCTTTCGGCTTGATCCAAGTGTCAGCCACAAATTTGGTTGCACCTGCAGTTGATTTGAATCCCCTTGGGGGGCATTCCGCTTTTTGATTGGCAAAATGTTGACGGCTTTGGCCTTTTTTGGTAACCTTTTAATGGATGCACGGGGAGAAAATGTAATATATTTATAACTATACCATTTTTTAGCTGAGATCGGCCTAAAATAACTCCTTTTTGGCTTGATTTTAGTGCATTGCCTTAAATTCATAACAACTTATTCTTAACTGTTTCTTATTCTTAACTGGTTCTAGGACAATTTTTTCTTAAATATAGAAAAACATTTTTATAAGTGCTGTTTTGTTAGTCTGAAATTCCTTATTTATTAGTTTCTTCCTCTGACTTATCATAAAAATAAACATTTTAATGGCTTTTTTCATATCGGAATCATGTTTTTCTCATAAAAATATTATCTTTAAAACTTGATTTTATTATTCCCTTTGCTTATATCCGGTTACGAATCAATACATTTTTGTTTAGTGTGTTTTTTTGCATTGGAATTACTTTATTTTTTGCCTCGGAGTGTGTTAAAATGTCAGTAAGTGTCAATAAAGTATTTTTTAGCTGGAATTCCCGGTTAAATATTGGGTTAACTGTTGGAAAGTTTGAAGAGAATCGATTGTAAAAGGGTTCTTGGCACAGATTTGTGTGAGGAACCCAGTTTACAAGAGTTCTTAACACAGATTTTTGTGTGTTGAGATTTCCTTTTCGAAAATCAAGTGCTTTTAAGGCTAAACCGAGTGTCATTGAACCGAAGATGAGTGTCACGTAAACTTGACATAATATTTACACCATTACAAGGTATCTCCGAATTAATCAGCACAAAGCGAATTTACCCAACAAAAGGCTGGTATCAAAAAACAAAGTAAACAAAACAAATTAAAACAAAATCTGTTGCATAAGCCATCAATAGACAGAGACACACAACCTTTCTACTGTCCAGTGGATGCGCAGCCCGAGACCAAATATTTGTGGGGGCCAGCGAGGAGAGACAAAGCAGCGCTAATAAAATTAACTTGCTAATGAAGCGATGATCACACCGCAGCAACCATGATATATACCTACATATACATATTGACTTAAATCATTTCGGAGCAGCCAAAGAAACAGAAATCAAGAAATACAACTTATAAAAAAATACAAGCTGGGCAGCATTTTTTGTATGCAGAAACATTTTTGTCGCGCGTGTTTTCGGCCAAACAGCGGCAAAGGCAGGCCAGCAGAATGGGAAAACAAGTTTCCAGAGTCTCTTGGCGGTCCACTATGCAAATGAAACACTAAATACTGAAGCTATACACATGTCTCTCTCTCTGATATTTTGTAATATCCCGCAATGAAAACGAAAGTGGAGTGACTTTGAAAAGCGCTCGTCGAACGAAAGCCCCCAAAGCCCCTAAGACCCTTCCAGCAGCTGCCAGTTTGCCCTTGTTGTCGTCGGTTTTCACTTTTTTTTTATTTTATTTTTTATTCCGTCATGTACCGAGCTGTTAACTCTATCGAATTAAAATAAATTCGCTGCCGAAAGAAAGTGAAAGAAATGTAAGAGTGCGAGTGCGAGTGCGCGTATGTGCACATGGCAGTGGAGTTGCGGCACAAGTTTTGCGCTCGAAATCATAACACGGTAATGGCAACAGGTTGGCTGACTTTTACAGTCCGGCTTCTATAACTTGAACTTGCTTACCTACATTTTAATGAACTTGAATGAGAAAATAAGGTTCAAAAACAAAGATACTGTTCTTAGAAATCAGTAAGAAATCAAAGTATTATAAGCTTAATTTTAAGAAAATTGGATCTTTATGATATTTTGTATATATTTTAACATATATAAATATTAATCGAAGGATTTCCTAAGTCTAAGTCCATAAGTCATAAGTTTCTTCTTTAATTTCTGAAGGATAAAATTATAACTTTATTTATTGAGGCTGAAAACTTAATTAAAATTAGGCAAAACAAAGAGATCAGTGACTTAAAATACAAGGAAATTTCATGATTACTATTTTGAAATATTCCCCCTTATTAAGTAACGACTGTAACTCAAATCTGATTTTGAGTCTCTGGTCCGAAACTCCTTACTTTTCTTCGAATTGTCACACAGCCTTAACTCTTGGCCGAACGTGACGCATTTCTTTGGTTTTATTTCAATGAATAAATCCAAATCTTTTCGGCCAGAGAGATGCAGACTCTGTGGAAATAATTGCCAGCTAGGCTTACATACTCATGCAAATTGGCATTTCTGTGGCGTCGTAATGATGGGAAAGATGCCAATGACATTGTTGTTTGTCCATCCAAAGCTCGACTCAGGAGGCAAACATAGCTGCAGTGAAAAGCGAATTTACATGCGACTTTTGTGCGATTTTTGTGGCCTGAAAAGAAAAGCGCAGATTTTGCCAATGGCCAATTAAAATGAATATTCGCATTTCCACAGCTCCCGGGAGCCGAGAGATTATTTCCGCTCAGGTTAACTGCACTCCGAGTTGAAAACCAGTTTTTTTTTGCCAAAACAAAAAACAGGTGCGACAGCCCCTCGTGGCCAGCGGTGGCTTTTTATATAATGGTCAGCTTTAAAAAGGAGCAATTTCTCAAATAGTTAATAGGCATTGCTAACATACTTTGGCCAGTCCTGGTCCAAAAAGTTGTTGGTTTTGCGACAACTTCAACTGAGATCAAGTTCCTTGAAGGCAAACAAAGCTGCTGGAGCGGCTTGAATTCCATTGTTTCCTTTTAATTGGGGCTATTAACACTTGTTTATACTTTTTGAGATTTTTGTAGGACCTATTTTAAATAGTTCACAAAGAAAAAGCTTACTAAGATTTGGCGCCTATTATATCAGGAATCCAGCAACGCAGGAGAACCCTTTCCGCCTGATTTGTGGCAGGGAACTGGACCAAATTCGGGACATCGAAGAAGTAGAAGGCAAATGCTACATGTTTGTCGTTTGGAAGGGTGACCCGGAAGTCCATAGGGTTCCCTTGGAGGGATTACTGCTCTAGCAAAACAGTACTTACCATAAAAGGGATCACCGAACCCGCGCCCAAAAGGTGTCTGTAGTACACACACCTACCTGGGTGAGTTGACTGTCGGCCCTGTGCCCATAACCTTAAACGCAAGCTTCCGCTCCGGGCTTCTTTCGGCTTCTCAGCTTCAACTTCAGCTAGGTTTCTTCTTCATAACTTTACAGTTCGACGCTCGCAATATTTGAGCCATGAGCCATGAAAACTTCGCGTTGCCTTCGGGTCAAGATAAATGCCATCGAAAAGCGAAAAAACAGAAACGAAAACGAAGCATCATCCGGTGGTCGGGCGAAGACAACAACAAGCACTTTGGTTTTGTTTCCCTATACGTGCACCTGCCAGTAGTATCTGCATTTTTCCGCCATCTCTTCTCGGTGGTAAATCATTGGATAATTCCGATGTTCGGCATATGACAAATTGCTTGCCTGTACTTATCTTGGCTGCACTTGGAACACGGTTCTTAGGTAGGATTTATGACTGTACTGGGAAGATTAATGAGAGGTTCTTACATTGGGAATATTGGCAGGGTAATGGGAAGACTTTAAAGACTCAAATTGGCCCTCATCTATACCGAACTCACTAATTCTCCGATTCCCTTCTGCTGTAGATTTCTGGCTCGCGATCTCAGCCAGCTAAGAAATTATGTGGCTCCAGACTCTGTGTCTTGCGGTTTCCATTTGGCTTATCTCTGTCGCATCTGTTGACAGCCACACAGCTCCGCTTTGAACTCGGCGACAGACCAAGCCATAGACCAGGCCAAAAACTCCCTCGCAAAAGTTGTGGGCGTTTTTAAGAGGCTCCAGGGTTCATTGAACCTGGGCAAAGACTGGCTCAGAATGAAGTCAGCGCCAGTGTTCCCCCAAATAGTGATTCTCTACAGATGCAAGGCGCTGTCTTTATGGCTTAACCTTCACTCAGAGAAGTACTTGAGGTGACACGCACACCCCGCAGAGGCGTACACACGAACACACCTTTGTTGTGCTGGACCGGGCAGCTAATGTGTCCATTTAGCAGGGGGCTTGCGCAACTCCAATGTCATTTGTAAGCTCTTTTAATGCCCAATGATTGCACTTTTCAGCAATTTGCACAGCAGATCATAAGTCTGTTCCATGGATTAATGGCCCCCTAGTGGATTCGCACTCAAATCCGTGTGCTCATAAAAAGAAATCTTGTTTAACGGCTACTTAAATTAGTGGTTTAGGTGCCTGTAAATTGTTTTATTGTCGCTTACACAGCTAATTTAAGTTTTTTATATTTTAATTAATTTAAAACGTTTTAAAGCGTTCATTGTGAAGGTCGGTCTGTGACCATTAAATGGCCGTAAATCTCTCTCTCTATCTCTCGAGGGGGAAATTTAAATGAAATGACCTACTTTTGGGTTAAATAGTGATCATTATATAGTGTCTTTTGCTTTATTTAGTAAATATTTAAAACCTCTAGGTAGTTTAGGTAAATGAACAAAGAGTTTTCTTAGATTTTATTATTA